GAAAATAGGAGGAGGAAGATCTGTTAAATATGTTTGTCAGCTTGAGTTAGTTGTAAAAAATAATAAAGATGGGATACAAATGAATAAATAAACAAAAAGACCTATTGTTATTTTTCGCAAGAGATATTTGATTTTTAGCTTCTCACCAAGTACCCTTTCCTTTACTGTATTTCCAAACAAATTCAAAAATTCGTCTCCTAACATCCAGTTTGGCTTTAAGAACATAATGCCCTGTTTTTAGAATTTTAGTTTTAAATTCTTCTAAATGATTATTGCTGTTATATATTAGCAAATAAGCTTGATTGCTCTTCTAAAGTTGCCCAGGTAAATAGAAAGCCAGAATCCCCTTATAAAAGGACAGAAAAATGTTTGTGATAAATGTTGGCACAATATTGCTTTCTAGCTTGCTTTTTCCTTTGCAACAAGACATATACCTTGTTAACAATTTGAATCCTGAGTATCTTTTTTTCTTTGTTTTAGTGAATGCTGGGGGAATACCTAGATGGGAATACTGGAGTTCTCAATATAAAACAATTAATTTTAAGATCTATTTGGACTCCTGATCCAGTTGCCCATTTCTTGATCAAATAGTCACATATGTACAATTTTCTAAATGTGCTGTGATTCAAACTGTTGAATCAAACATTAGCATTTTATTTTGTTTGAACAGTTATTTCTCCATTGCTATTTTAAACATGTATTTACTTAAAAATGCATGTAGCTGAGAGTACCTACACAATGTGAAAATTTACATAAAAATAGCAATCCATAATTAAAACACAAAATGCCAGACTAAAAAAAGCGACAAAAAGCAAGAACAGAGTCAAATTAATCAACAATAAAACCAAAGACTTATGTATAAGTGGGAGTGAAATACCATAGAGTGGAAGAAGAAATCTTAGGGAAGAAAGTCTCAAATACAAGTACCATCACAGATTAGCTCATTATAATATGCATTATCATCAATTTATTCAAAGTTGATTCTAGAAGTTTATGGCCTAACCAATACCAAGCTAATTTAATTTGGATGGTACACTTTCATTAAGGATTGGACACATAGCTTTGAAACAATTTTTCTTTGTTTTGGGCCTTTTTACATATCATGCAATGCATCAAACTAGCCTTAATTTAGATTTGTTGAAGAAGACATAATTGTCTTGAGTTTGCATCAAACTATGTACTCAGCTTCTATGTTCGTTCTATAATGAAAAAAAATTGCAGCAAGATTGTTCTGATATTATAGTTCAGGTTCTGATATTTTTCATGTCCACATGCTAGGATGGACCAGTTTTCCTTGTGAGTCTTGCTTGAACTTCTTGACAACTTTCATCTGAAATGTGTTCTTAATCCATTTATGCTGAAGTGTCCCACTTCTTGTCTAGGATTTTACCAGTAGGTCTTCTACCAGGAAAAGATTAGGATTGGGATCTAATAGTTGCCATGTTGTCTTCAAATAATATATACATATATATTGGATTCAGTTACCGTTTCTAGTTTCAGGAAAGGAATCAAAACATCCTTCAACCACGTTTTGCAATGCAAGTTAGTTTTAATAGTAATGTTAAGTGCTATATACAATTTTGAATGTTTATATTCTATTTTTGTTATTACCCTTCTTGAGTGCCCTGTATCAGACAAATAATATCAATTGTATTTATTTATTTGCTTATTTACTTACTTACGTATTTATGAAATTTATTTGACACCCATCTTGTATCCAATGACTCTGGGAGGGCTAACAACATTAAAACATTGAAAACATTAAAATCATCCATCTTGAAAAACACAACAGATTAAAAAAATGTATAAATGCATAAAAAAAATAATACACAAAATTGGTTGGTAATTATTTTATACTTCATAAATCCATGGAAGGAGAGCAGCAACGAGTGTTTCCAAGTACCGTCATCTGTTTTCATTTAATTTTTTAAAAGTAATTATTGGGGAGAAAAATGGTACAATTAATTAGTGTGTCAAAGCACTTGTCCCCATGTTGAGATATTGGCTTAGCGTATGTTTATTAGCAATCTTAATTGAGTAGATATTATAAGCTTCAATCTTTGTCTTTGAACCATGGCAGGATGCATATTGCATACAGAACATCCTATTTCTAAATTAGCAAACATCAATTAAAACACGGACAATAGTTTCCAGTCATGAGGTTATGTCAGTTCTGTTGATTGATTGGAACCAAGAGGGCCCCATTGTTTTGCTCCAAGCACACAACTGAGTTTTCATTGTAAAGCTTGTTAACAAAAGGCTTTTTATGTGCATGTTGTGTTTGTTTAGGACTTCCAAGATGGATAAGCAGAGCAGAAGCCATTGTCTGAGAAGATCAGTTGTAGCATTTCACACAAGTGTTTCTGTTCATGGAATTGTTTTTTGTGTAGGAATGCTAAGTGTTGTTTGTCATTTTAAAGCATGGGTTCATCAGAACTAGCGATGAGATGGTCAGGTGCTTTCAAAATATTTCTGTGTGCTTTTACACTACGCAATTTGCTATATGGAGTGTTGGTTTCTAAGACAAGCTTTATTGGAGAGAGTGTTCTGCAAATTATGGCTTCTTGATATTTTTTCCTGAATTTGGGGAAAATATCAATCCACAGTTGCTCTATTTTCTCCTTGAAAGTACTTGCAACTTTCCAGGAACCCATGTTCTCACCAGCCCTTCAGATAAACAAAAGAACCATTAGCTTAACTATGACCTCAAATGGACTTCAAATCTAAAGTTATTTTCCTACAAGGTCTCCTTTATTCACTGAGCAGTTCTGTCAGGGACAGAAATCAGATAAAGTAAAAAAAAAAAAAAAGAGTCCTCTTGCTTAGGCTAATTCAATTTTCCAGTAAAGTATAGCAAACGACAAAAGGAATAAATGTTTAATAATGAAACCTTTTGAATATGAAATGATTGGACTGAATTATTCTTCCATATCCTTTCAGTGTTCTACCATAAATCCATTTTTCTTCTCAGTGGGTGGGAACAATAATGAGGTCAAATTTCTTAGAATATTTCAAATTCTAAGGATGAATGAGCCATTATATTACTAGCTTACTTGCAAAAAATCGTTTTCTATCTCTGTTGTTTGACTGCCTGTTTTGGAAATATACAAACACGGGTAGATAACCTTTGGGGGGGCGGCTGCTAGGCATTTTTGAAATGTTGAAGCACATTGCACATGCTTTTATAAAATGGTCATCATGATAGGCATTGTTAATCACAAAACAAAAACAAGTTATCAGAAGCTAATAATTTAGGTTATTAGTGAAGGGGAAGGACCAGGGGAGACATGACATGATAGCAGTGTTCCAATATTTGAGGGGCTGCCACAGAGAGGAAGGGACCACGCTATTTTCCAAGGCACCTGAAGGCCAGACAAGGGATAATGGATGGAAACTGATCAAGGAGAGATTCAACCCAGAAATAAGGAGAAATTTTCTGACAGTGAGAACAATCAACCAACAGAACAGCTTGCCTTTGGAAGTTATGGGAACTTCCATCACTGGAGGCTTTCAAGAAGAGATTGGACTGCCATTTGTCAGTCCTACAAGAGATTGGACTGCCATTAGATGACCTACAAGGTCCCTTCTAATTCTGTTAATCTGTAATATAATCTGTATGGTTGCTTCCTTTCAGCCCCTAAGAATGGCATCTACTACATCTTGCCTTTATCCTTTATTTCTATGTGGGTGGACGTTTTCCAAATACACTGCAGTGTTTTGCCATTTTTATTTCCTAAGGTTGTCTGTCCAGCCCAGAACCATCCTTGTAAATAACCACAATGATGTAAACTGCTCTGATTTTCAACATGGCTGCTTCCCATTTAATGTTTTCATTATTTTGGGTGGCAACTATCCTTGGAAATAATGCTTGGAAAGAAATACGACTATATTCCAAATAGAAGTACTGTAGGCATACACAAATGCATTAAAAATAACAGCCAAGCTTTCAGTAAAACATAGTTACACACAATTCTAGTGTTTGCAGTGAAATCTTTTCATATGTTTTAAATTATTCCAAAGTCCAAAGTAGGTAAATCATTCATATTGAGTAGTATTAAGCTTCACCTTTGTTCTTTGTCAGACCTGGTCATCTCATGGCTGTGTGATGCTTCTCACATTCCTGATTTCTTTTTTTGAGGCTTTCAAAATCAAAATCATGCTGGGGAAATATACTGCCCTAATTTTTGCACACACACACACACACCCAGTGACTAACAAAATACCTATGCCATACCTCTTATAGCCTTAATGCTCCTATTTTATGAATTCTCCACAAGTGCATATCTTGACCTCCACAGGGAGATCACAGCCTACAGTATTTCTGCAGTTTATAAATATGTGTTAAATAATATCGAGAAATAAATGATGTTTCAGATAGCATAACCATTTATAGCAATAAAGAAATTCTTCAGAAGCAGTCTGGTCTAATAAGGAAGGTGCATGGCAGAAGTTGACCATAATATTCCAAAATAACCGGGAACTTAGTGTGCAATCAGAAATGGCCCTCAAGGGGCCATTTCTATACAAATTAGAAAGGACATATACTCTTGAATTTGGAAGCTGCCTTGGCCTACATGGCAATGCCTTGGGTTATTGTTCAACAAGTTAGGGTTAGGGTTTATCGGAGGTATGTTAAAAGCTAAATTTGGGGTTGTTTCTGTTTAATTACAGTAAGTCAATATAATTAATAAAATGGTTTCCTAGGTACAGTATTCAACATTTTTTGCTTTCTCTTTAATTTGCATTAATGTTTTGGGGAAAACCTGGAGTTGCATTTAATTCTTTGGAATGGGGCAAGAGTCCATTGGGCACATACATAAATAACAATGTTCCTTGTAGGTATGATTTGGAGTACAGTGTGAAGGGTGACTGACAAACTCTTTCTTAGGCTGGTCTTAGTAGAGATGTGCTCCTGAGAAGCCCCAGGTTGTTCTTTTAAAGAAGACAGGTTGGAAATAGCTGTGCAAAACTTAATCCATTGTTTCTTTTTTCTCTTTCAGGCAGTGGTGCTACCGCCGTAGTCCAAGCAGCGCTCTGCAAACCCAGGCAGGAACGCGTAGCAATAAAAAGAATCAACTTGGAAAAATGCCAGACCAGTATGGATGAATTGCTTGTAGGTAGAATGAGCATAATGAATGAATGAATGAATGAATGAATGAATGAATGAATGAACAATAAACAAGCTGATTGATCAACCTTTTAAGAGTTCTTCAGTATCTTATAAACAGTACTTGCATATGATTGTTCTACCTGAACTGGGAACATTAATTATAGTAAACTGCTGTGAATAAGCAATGTGGATTTTTATGGTTGATTATATCTACATTTTATTGTAGCTATGGTACAGGTAGGCTTCAATTTATGATAATTCATTTAGCAACTGTTCAAAGTTACAACACTGCTGAAGATAGTAACTTATACAGGTAGTCCTCAAATTACAACAGTTCACTTAGTGGATCATTTGAAGTTAGAACGGCCCTGGAAAAAAATGATTATTGTTTTTTCACACTTAACCACTATTGCAACATCCCCAAGGTCACATGATCAAAATTCAAACACTTGGCAACTGACTCATATTTATGACAGTTGCAGTGTCCTGGGGACATGTGATTAGTGTTTGGGACCTTCTGACAAGCAACGTCAGCGGGGAAGTCAGATTCACTTAACAACTCTATTATTAACACTGCAGTGATTCATTTAATATCACTTGCATCACACTGGGTTTTCTCTTTTGTGTTCAGAAGAGACATTTGTAAAAATCTGCTTCAGAACTGTGGGAAGATCTTACAAGGACACACCAGGCTGTGCTGTGTTGAAAGCTTATGTTCACACATTGATCTTAAAGATGAAGGGACTTCGGTTGAATGAAATATGACTTACAAAATCATCACTCAAGCCATTACTGCTGCGTTTATCCTAATGATATTTTTTCTTATTTTGCATTGGATAAATACAATGTCAAAGAAATTTTAATCTTACTAAACAAAGAGATGAAATAGTCCATTAAGGCAAGAAGAAAATCATTGTGATATTTAAAAATGCAGATGTTCCAAATTATATTTTTATCTATAATATACCAATAAGAGAGAATATTTGTAGTTCAAGGTTGAAATGAGGGGTCCTTGGTGCGCGGAGCTTGGTTGTTTTCTTGCAGAAGTTTCATTACCCAAACTAGATAGCATCATCAGTGCTAGATTAGCACCTAGTTTGGGTAATGAAACATCTGCAAGGAAACAACCAAGCTCAAAACACCAAGGACCCCTCATATCTATCTATCTGTCTGTCTGTCTGTCTGTCTGTCTGTCTGTCTGTCTATCTATCTATCTATCTATTCATTCTAGTGTGTTATTATTTAGATATAACAAATATAATTTCTGAAATATTTAGAATTTGTTGGTATATTAAAGTGACTCAAGCATTATTAACAAATCATATTTTGGATGATCAAAACGTTTTATTTGACTTGAGCAGAAAAAAAAGCTGCATTTTTCTTAAAAAATAAATTGGAATTGTAATTAACTCATCAAACTGCCAGAGATGATGGAAATTGCAACTCAGCATCTCAGAAGGGCTTTCCTTTGAGAGACATTCATTTTAGTTGCATTATTTTTCTCTGAAATTTCCAAGCACAGTGTTCTTAAATGATGAATATACATTTCCTAATCTCATCCACTGTATTTATTTCCTGATGGCAAATAGCTACGATAACCTTACATTTTTCCTTGCAAGACTACTATGTCATATTTTGCCTTCTTAACAGAAAGAAATCCAAGCCATGAGTCAATGCAGCCATCCTAATGTAGTTACGTATTATACATCTTTTGTCGTCAAGGATGAGCTTTGGTTGGTTATGAAACTACTAAGTGGAGGTGAGTCGTCATACTGAAAATATGAAAATGCAGTCCTGTGTTGGAATGATCTTTTCTAATCAATCAGTGTTTTTCAAATAAAGCGTTAGATGGGTCATTTTATTTACAACTAGTTAATATCTGTAGGAGAGCCAGTTTGGTAATAGGCATCAGGCTAGAAACTAGGAGACCGTGAGTTCTAGTTCCGCCTTGGGCACAAAGTCAGCTGAGTGTTGTTCTGACCCAGCTCCCCAAACACGACAAACCCTTTGTATTTAAATCAATGATTCCTTTATTAGGAGCGCCAGCAGCCCCTGCAAAAAAGTTTCTCTCTCACCACAGGCTAACAAGTCCAGCCGGCCAGGAGATGAGTAGTTGTCTGCCACATCTATTCATCTCTGCCCCCTGCCTTTTATTCCCAGAGCTAGGGTGGGGCTTCGCTAGCAGCGGGGGCTTTTCCTTCCCAAGGATAGACCCACAGATTTCCACTGCTTTCCTCTGCCTTCTGTGCATCCGCGTGTCAGATATTGGACCCAGCTGTTCCTTCTCTTCCTCATCAGTCACCTCCAGACCTAGGAGCGTCTGGCACGCTTACATGATGTTTCACTTAAATCCACAGTGATGGAGTTGCCACTCTCATTTGTGGTGATTAAATGAGGACTACCTGAATTGATCTTTAATTGGTGGCAGATAAACCTGAGGATTTTAATTGATTTTTTTTCATCCCAGCTTTCTGGCCAGAGGAACATTTTGTAGGTGTGAAAATTTCTGAAGAAATTACTTGTGACACATTCTAGGGCTTAATTTAAAAATAATAATAAGGAAAATGCTTTTTGTCAGCCCTTTTGTCAGCTGTGAACAACACTCTGTATTTTGGCAATTTCAACAGTGTCAAGTTTTGCAGATAATATTCTGAAGAGAAGGCAGGAGGTTGGCCACATTCCTCCTCTTGAGTAAATTAGTAGAGAAAGGGGAGCATTAGGGTCCAGCTAAGGCAGTAGAGAAGATACATACTCCTAAATTGAGGCAAAATAACACAGAAGGCAGGCCTTGCAGAGGAAGACACAGATCAGGATGTTGACCCCAGAGAAAAGTCCCAAAAGAGGGTCAAGAATTGACCAAGGACATGCTGGCTGGTAGACAAGATGGAGACTACTGGACAATGCAGATGGGGCAGCAAAAGTTTCAGGAAAAACACGCTGCTTGCAAGGTAGAAAGTTCCCAAGGAGGAAAACTCTGCTGCTTTTGAGGTGGAAGTAAAACTGCAAAAAGGCACATAGAGCAGAGATAATGTTGATCCAGTAGAGCAGGGGTTCCCAACCTTTTCTATACCCACTCCCTTAGAATGCTTCTGATATATTCTCGCACCCCTTTAAAAAATAAACAATTATATGCATATAATTATACATATACACTATAATTTTGAATCTTCTAAATCCAAGTTTTCGCACCCCCTGGAATATTGTCTCGCACCCCCGGTTGGGAACCCCTGCAGTAAAGGATTATTTCATTATTTCATCATGAACTTCACTTGGGTCTAAATAACTAAGGAAGCACAAAACTCTTGAATACTAAGAACGGGAGAAGATAGTGTCCTCAATAGATAAATGCAGGATATAAAATTCAACACTTGAGAGGTTTATTGACGGTGATACTTTTGCTGTAGGAAAGTGGGAGATGTTTTAAAATATAAATTTCATCCCAAGCTGGAACCCACAATAACTCTGTGAATCCTCATGTCCCTGGGCCAAAATGCCAGATTCAACAATAGTTGAATTGAACAGAGAAGAGGTTATCCTTACTAAGAGGATAGTTGCCATGACTATGAATGGCTAACTTTTGGTGATCAAGAGAGACATGGGGTGGATACTTCAGTAGTGCACAAGTTGCTACTGATGATGATCTACAGGTGGAAGCTGAGATAATTTATGTGTGTGGGGTAGGTAGGCGGGCTAGAAGTAGGAATGCTTCTAGTCATCAAGATTAGAGGTTGGAAAGAACTATGGAAGTGTGCCAGCTAGGACTGTGGCCAGATAGCTATACTGCTTGACCATGATTTGGCCCAGCATTCATGGAAAATGCTTCTTCTGGGGAGCAAAGGATTTTGACGTTGGTTGAATCATAGTTTGACCTACCTACCTATGTGACCCACCTGTGGAAAAAGAGGAAAACTGATGCAGGTCAGCTGATTCTACAGGGAGGAAAGCCCTAGTGTCAGGGTTCCAAGTAACATACCCATAGCAAACAAAACTCTGAGGCAAGCAATTTCCTCAAAGAATAGGTTTATTGGATATGTCACATTGGCACAGGCTGGTGAAAACTGACTGATTATTCCTGCAGTTTTCACCTAATTCAAAGTAAACGTTTGTCACTTTCTCAAAACAACCAGTCACATGGTCCAAACAGGATACTGTCCAGTTGCTAGGTGACTCCAGTCCCCTCCTTCCGAGCACCTGCAGGAATGTCCTTGGTTCCCAAGAGAAAGTATTTTGTTTTGACTACAACACCCCAACTATCTGTATTCTCCCCACCCCCCATCCCTCTTCTCCAGTGTGTTTACCACTGAAGTCTCAAAATGGCCTCAGTCAGGCCAGCTTCAGGGTTGACACCCAGAGTGTCATATGCGCATGCATGCACAACCCACGACAACTTTCTGAGAAGGAAAAGAGAAGACAATTCTGAGGGAGAGTTGTTGAAACTTCTCTGTCTTCTAGAATCCAGAGGCTGGGGCTGGCTAGAGGGGGTGGTGAGATGGTGATGGAAACACAAGCCAAGTCATAGTGCAGAAATTGGTGGAAAGTGAGAAGAACCCGAGAGCCAAGGTGTATCGGTTTTGCTTGAGACTGCTGAATCTGACTCATGACTGTCCCGAGTCTGGTATGCTTCAGCATTTTTTTTTTATTGATCGCTTCTCAGAGTTGCAGATGATTCAAAACTAGGGGTTAATTAATGTGAAATTCAAAGCAACTTTGGTAGGTTAAAATCATAGAAATGAAATTCAATTGATAAAAAGGCTGACAAATAATAGAGTGAAATATAAAGATTATGAATAGTAAGATCTCCACTTAGGAAATAGATAACAAATGCCCTGTTACGGGAGATGCTAGCTTGGTAATAGTAAAGGTGAAAAAAAAGTTGGAATGTGGTTCATTGCAAGCTGAATATGAGTCAGCAATCTGATGTAGCTACAAAAAGGCATTTGCCATATTAAGCTGCATCAGTAGCTTCCAATTCAGAAAATAATCATCGAGGGAAACAAAATACATGTGAAAAAGCACAAGAAAAATGATCATCAGAAATGCAACTAAATCTTATGAGAAGAGACACTGGCAATGGGATGCTTAACTTGAGAAGAAAAAAATGAGGATGTGATAACATTTTTCAAGTACCTGAAGGGATGTCATGTAAAAAAAGGCGTTGTTTTTTTTTTTCTTTTTTTAAATCCTCTCCAAAAGCAGAACAAGTTGCAGGAAGGCAAATTCTGACAGAATGTTAGAACAAACTTTATGGTGCTCCCACTTTCATTGAATATGTTCATGTGGATCCTGGGCAATCAACTACCAAGAATAATTTAATTTAAATTTCTGTACTAAGCAGAGGATTAGATTTGGTAGTCTACATGGCCTCTTCCTATTGATTCTAATTTCTTTCAAGTTTTTGGGTGAGGAAAATGTACATGTTGCTTGTGACCTGACAGTTATGTTGCCTGTCAGATATTCTTAAATGCAGTTACCTCTAAAAAAATTCACATGGAAGTTGTTCAGCAGCAGTGGGCTGCTGAAGCAATTAGTCAATTTAATTACAGGTTTCTTATACTTCCTATAATTTTGTTGCACATTTTGAACCTATGATTTTATGATCCAGTTCTCTATGCTTTCCATGTACTCAGTCTTGTTGATGTGTCCATGTATTTTAAACGTGTACAACTTTAAGACTTGTGGACTTCCAACTCCCAGAATTCCTCAACCAGTCTGGGAATTGGAAATCCACAAGTCTTAAAGTTGCCAAGTTTGGAGACCTCTGGTTTCTAGATTTGTTCTCTCCGTCTCAGAAAATTTAGGTTGAAATCTAGAGCAACTTAAATACGTATAATGGATCTTGGAATACAGGATGAAGAGATTGGTGTTCTAATTTTCTTTTGTAATTTCTCTCTTTCTCTCTCTCGTTCTCTCTAGGCTCAATGCTGGATATAATAAAATATGTGGTGAGCAGAGGAGAGCACAAGAGTGGTGTGCTTGAGGAATCAATAATAGCCACAATTCTGAAGGAAGTTTTGGAAGGCTTAGACTATCTACATAGAAATGGACAAATCCACAGGTACTAGCATGTTGCTTCATTGTGTGTGAGTCGAGAATGCAAAGTTTCATTATTAATTCTATTAACTTGGGATGGCTATATAAATTGATTAAATCAATCAGTAAATTCAAGGCTAGAAGGCTAGGGTCTGATAAGCCAAAGGGCTCTGATCTAACCTTGATTGGGAGGGGACACATCCCATAAATTCTTCTATACTATAGTTGTGCAACGCAACATGAGGAGATATGAAATCCTAATCTTAAATTAACCATTTAGTTGATAATGCTTTCTCCATTCGCAAAATCATCTCATCCATGTTAGCAATTATTATTAGCCTTTCAAAGGGGATGATCAAACCTAATCTCTTTTTGATCTATTGTTTTGATGAGGAGATGGCAGAAAAATTGCTGCTTTCTCTTTGAAACTGCAAAGGGTGGAAGTTTCTTGTCTTGACAATTATTTTTACTCCATTTCCTTCCCTCATGCACAGTAGCAAATGGGGATTGATTGATTAATTAATTGATCGATACAAAGCCAGCTGCAACTCTTGATTTCCTGGGTGAATATAATAGAGTAGTTTTCCATGAGATAAGCGGCGTGGTCTGAAGCGCAACAGAGATTTTCCGGTTTGCATAAGAACGAAACGATGAGCTTTTTTGTAAGTTGTAAGAACATATTTTCCCCTCAATTTGTCATCTTTAAAATGAAATTATCTGAGATTGTACAACCAGAAAGTTTTTAATTCCATTCAGTGGTATTGTTCCACAGCAAGCCTCCCCTCCCTCTTCTTCCTCCTCCTCCTCTCGCATCACATCTGAATTTAAATGCTTTTTTTGTTTATTCCTTTTTCTAGAGATTTAAAAGCTGGTAATATTCTTCTGGGTGAGGATGGCTCTGTACAGATAGCAGGTAATCATCATTATTGTTAAATTTTAAAAATGTGTGATGGGAAATTTGAGATATTCCAAGAGATATTCCATTATTGTTAAATTTTAAAAATGTGTGATGGGAAATTTGAGATATTCCAAGAGATCTCATTAATGTTTTAAATGGTTAGAATTTGTTAAGTTTAAGGGTGTTTGATAATCAACTATAGGCTAAGCATTCAGTTTTCCTGAGGAGATTTTTTTTCTTAATGGAGTGTATCAGTCAGCTTTTCAAGAAACAACACAGTTGTTCCCAGTCTGTTGTGCTCCATAATTTTGAACTATAGCTTTTATTTTTCTCACCTGGCAAGTCAGAAATTTCTAGAGGACAGCTAGTACAAAATCAAAGTAGATTGGCAGCCAATAGTGTGAGCTGCCAAGACTTCAGTTGATATTTCACCTCCAGCCCCATATTTATTAGGGAGGCTTCAGCATGCTATGTTGCAGAGGTAGATTTCAGCAGATTCTGACCAGTTCTGGAGAACTGGTAGCAGAAATTTTGAGTAGTTCGGAGAACCGGTAGTAAAAATTCTGGCTGGCCTTGCCCCCATCTATTCTTTGCCTCTCAAGTCCCAGCTGATCAGGAGGAAATGGGGATTTTGCAGTAACCTTCCCCTGGATTGGGGAGGGAATGGAGATTTTACAATATTATTCCCCTGAGGTGGGGAGGGAATGGAGATTTTACAGTATCCTTCCCCTGGAGTGGGGTGGGAATTGAGATTTTACAGTATTCTTCCCCTGCCACGCCCAACAAGCCATGTCACACCCACCAAGCAGGGGTGAAATGCTCCCGGTTCAGACCGGATCGCTTGATCCGATAGCGAAGGCGGCAAGTGGTTCGGAGAACCGGTAGCAAAAATCTCTGCACCCCCCCCCCCCGCCCACCTGAGCGGCATGTACTTTTTTTTTTACTTTTAAAAGCTTTTTTTCAGCAACCTCTTAAGGTTGTAGAAAAAATGCTTTTAAAAGTAAAAAAAAAAGTAAAAAAGTTGGCCACGCCCATAATCATAATAACAAGACCAATCAGAGAAGATAGTAGAAAAGATGAGAAGGATAATAGTAATATAGCCATACTACATGGGTAAATATACTTAGACATAAGGTAGTGCTGTGGGAATTAGGTTTTCAGCAAAGTGATGGCACCAACCAAATTGTGTCTGGTTTTTGACATGCAAAACTTGCCATACTATGGGCTCAATCTCAGACAATAGGATTCCAGTTTATTTCCGGTACACTTCCCCACTTACGGTGCTGGAGCAGATTGGAAGTTGTGTATGCTGTGTAGAAGAGGAAGAAGAATCTGTTTTGTCAGCAGCTTTGATTTTTCTGGCAGTGAGTCAGCATTGTGTGTCATTTCCAACACGGCTTTGATGACATGGAAAATCTTCTGGTTCATAGGGAAAGCATTGGCACTCAAGGTGGATAAAAATCGATGAATTTTTTTAAAAAAATTTAAACAGCTTTTTTTATTTAAATCTGATTTTTTTTAATTTTTATCATATTTATTTTAATAAAATGCTTTTGTAGTAAAAATCTATCGTAAGATAGTTTTCTATTTAAGATACATTAATAATTTAGTTTATTCAGCATGAAATGGAGCTTAGTTATGTAGCATGAGGCTGTATATTCTGCAATATTGGGATTGTTGGCAAGTCAGCAGCGGGTCAGAGGAGGAGCTGCTGCAGGACAGTTGCTCTTTAAAAATTACAATTTATCGCATATTACAACTCAAGATCAAAAATATTTGATAAACTCAAAACTAGGAGTACATTATATATCTTCAACTTCGCAGAAAAAGAATGGTGTGGTTATTTATGTAAATAAAAAATTAACAGCAAAAGTTATAGAAGTAGATCAAGATGGTAGATTTGTAGCAATTGAATTGTTTACAGCAAATGGGCAAATTCTTTTGATTGGAATTTATGCTCCCAACCAACAACAGGATTATTTTTACAAGATGTTACATACTAAAATATTGCAATGGGACTACAGATCTATTTTAATTATGGGAGATTGGAATGGAGTAATTGATTCTAAATTAGATAAAAAGAGCTTAGCAAAGTCTAGAATTAGATTACCACAGACCTTTTTTGATATGAAAGAAGATATGGAACTAAAAGATGTTTGGAGAATACATAATCCAAATGAATTGGATTACACTTTTTTTTCTGATAGACATAGATCCTTTTCTAGGATTGATTTTATCTTGTTGTCAAATGATCTACTTGTTAAGACAAAAAGAACAAAGATTTTTCCAAGAACTTTGACTGATCATAGTCCTGTATGGATAGAAATCGAGATGGATAAGGTTGAGAGACGTTCTTGGAGATTAAATGAGAACTTGTTTAGATATGAAAAAAATATAATAGAACTTAAAAAGCATTTGAAAGAATTTTTTGAAATAAATTTGAATAAAGGTACCCCAGTTGAAATTGTTTGGGATGCAAGTAAAGCTTATATGAGAGGGGTACTTATCTATATGAATTCTAAACATAGACTGTTCCGACAAAAGAAAAGATCTGAGTTGGAAATGGAAATAAAGAATAAAGAACAGTTACTTATTAAAAACCCAACAGATGAAAGAATACGAAGTGCTATAAAACTTTTGAAAGACCAATTCCAAATGCTTATGGCGGAACAAGTTGCAACAAGCTTACAATACGCGAAGCATAATACATTTTGCAATGCTAATAAACCGGGCAGATGGTTGGCCTACACATTGAGGAAAAAACAAAGTATGCGGACTATTGACAGTATCGATATTGGAGGGAAAGAAATTTTTCAACAAAAATTAATTAAAGAAGCTTTTGTGGATTATTATACTAAACTATATGCTAAAGAAGAGGTGCAGAATGGACTTATAGAAAAATATTTAAAGGATAAGAGAGTTACAAAAATTACTGATCAACAAAAGGAAAGAATGAATTATCTTATAACAGAGGAGGAGATAATAGTAGCAATTAAACAGCTAAAAACAGCTAAAGCTCCTGGCACGGATGGTTTGACTGCAGTGTATTACAAAACTTTACAAGCTGAAATGGTGGGACAACTTAGAGATTTATTTTGCAATATTCAACAAGGGGGTAAAATACCCCCATCCTGGACAACTGCTTATATATCTTTGATACCAAAGGAACAAGTTGGTCCTAAAAAACCAGAGAACTACAGACCAATATCTCTTTTGAACACAGACTATAAAATTTATGCGAAGGTATTAGCCAACAGGTTGATGCCAGTAATCCAAAAGGTGATTCATGAGGACCAAGCGGGATTTATTGAGGGCAGATACATGAAGGACAATGTAAGGCAAGTAATAGACTTATTGGAATATCTTGATAAGAATAAACAGATTTCTGCAGTGCTGGTTTTTTTGGATGCGGAGAAGGCCTTTGATAGAGTGGATTGGAATTTTCTACTAAAGACTTTAAAAAAGATGGGCTTTGGGGACCAATTTACACAGGCGATCTCAGCAATTTATCAAGAGCAAAAAGCACAGATTATTATTAATGGAAGTTTGACGACAGAGTTTAAAATTGAAAAAGGAACAAGACAGGGATGTCCGTTGTCCCCACTTTTATTTATTTTAACATTGGAAGTCTTGCTAAATACAATACGGGACTCAAAAATTTTGAAAGGCATAATGATAAGGCAAGAGGATTATAGAATAAAGGCATTTGCAGATGATCTGGTGGTTACCCTATCACAACCAATGGAATCAACAATCCTGATGAATGACATTATACAAGACTATGGTAGAGTTTCAGGTTTTAGACTGAATTCAAAAAAGACTAAAATGATAGTCAAAAATATGACACAAGATCGTAAACATGAGCTTGAAAGGAGGGCAGGTTTTCAAATTGTACCTAAGGTAAAATATCTTGGAGTTCAGGTTGCAGAATCAAACATGAAATTGTTTCAAAATAACTATGAGGTGTTGTGGCGAGAGGTTCAGAAAGACATGGAGACTTGGAAAAAGCTGCAACTGTCTTTACTTGGAAGAATAGCAGCAGTTAAGATGAACATTTTGCCAAGATTTCTGTTTTTGTTTCAAATGATTCCGGTGCTTAAAAGTGATAAACAACTGAAAGTTTGGCAAACTGGACTTAATAAGTTCGTCTGGAACGAGAAAAAGCCGAGAGTGAAATTGAAAATTATGCAAGATGTTCCAGAAAGAGGAGGCCTTAAACTTCCAAACCTACAGTTATATTATGATGCAGCAGTTTTAACTTTAACAAGTGATTGGTTTGGGGGTAAAAAGGCTGGAATATTGAATGCAGAAAGCTTTGATCTTGAATTTGGATGGCATGCTTACCTATTTTATGATGACAAAGTTGATAAAGTATTTAAAAGTCATATACTTAGAGACTCTTTGATGAGAGTTTGGAAGAAGCACCGACTCAAATGGGATTATAAAATACCGTTATGGCTGGATCTTGGTCATACCTTGTGGAATACAAATATAATGTCACTCGGGGGGTTTTTATACAAAGAGGTTCTTTTTACAGATGCGGGCAGATGGCAGCTGAAGACATTGCAGACACTGTTGGACGAAGGGATTAATTTAACCTGGTTACAATATAATCAATTACAATTGAGATGGAAAGAGGACCAAAAAACTGGTATTATGTTGCATGAGGAAGAATTGGTTAGACATATAAGAGAGAAAGGTCCAATGCATATTAAAAGGCTTTATAATGTTTTGCTAGAAAGGGATTCAGAAACGGAATTAGTTAAAGATTGCATGATTAAGTGGGCACAAAATTTTGAAGAACCAGTGATGTTGGAAACATGGGAAAAAATTTGGGTTCAGAATGTTAAATTTACACAGTCGCAGAATCTGAGGGAAAATTTTTATAAAATGTTTTATAGATGGCATTTAGATCCTAAAAAGTTGTCATGTATGTACCCTAATGTTCAGCCAAAATGTTGGAGATGTGAATGTTTGGATGCTACGTATTATCATGTTTGGTGGACCTGTAGGAA